ATTATATGTATGTTTGATTGGGTTCTACTTACGGTGCTCCCCAGCTAACGATTCCAACTAATTTGTTGTTGTAAACAAGTGGACCACCCGAGTCACCCTGAAATGATAAACGGATTAATATCTCACTCGAACTCAATTCGCATTAAATACAACTTACATTGCAAGCACCTTCACCAACTTTGTTCAATGTACAAATGTGGGAGTCATGAACGGGTGCACTCGAACTATAGATTTCTCTACATTTTTCAGTTTGGACCGCATTCAATTTAATGATTTGCAAGTGTTGTGGCGTTACTCCGCCGGCCTATTAAGATTATCATCGGTTTGAAAATATTCGTTGAAAAAATCACATTTACTAGACTTACTTGCAATCGACCCCATCCAGTCAGTTGGAGAACGGCACCATCGGGTACTTCTTCGGATGAGTATTCGATTGTTTGGACTTTATCGTTCAATGTAATTGATCCTTGCACACGAATCACGGCAATGTCATTAGCAAAAAAGGACGAAAGTTCCTCATGAACTATGATTTCCGCAACTCTGTACGAAGTCCCACCAATTTTCCAGTCATTCGATCCAACGTAGACTTCCAGATTTTCTGCTGTTTCACTTTGAGTAACATGGATACAAGTAAGTAATGAAAAGAAAAAAAAACTGTACAGATTCATTCGTTATACCCAACAACACAATGGGCAGCGGTGACAACCCATTTATCCGAAATGATAGCACATCCACAGAAGTGTGTTTCATTCAATTGCAACGAGCATTGGAACGGGGCTGCACCATCCTCAGCATCGACGCCTCCAACAATTCTGGTTAATGACGATTGCGGTGGGAACACTAGAGCAATTAAACGTTAACGATATTGATTTCCAAACTGAACACTTCTTTAGTTAGCTACTGCCACATTTTACTTACAAATTGGTTCAGAGCTAATGTGTTTCCCGGCTATTGTCTGCAAAACGCAACACAGCACCACTAATATCAACTTCATTTTCGCAACTGTAGCTTTTAATTCACCTGTTAGCTTATGGAAAACTAAAATGTGCCATACGAACCATTTGAACAATCTCTCCTAATCGGCAGCTCGCGAAAGAAAAAGCGATATCATTATCAGCGCCACTCAACTATTTGTGCCGTAATAAATAAAAATTATTACTTTACAATCGAAGCATTGTTTGCGCGCCATCATTTTCTATTACATCCTAAAAAAAATTCAGGTAAATTCCCCGAAGAACTCTCATAAATTATTTAAAAGAATTACTTCAAAAAAGAGATAAGAATTAGCGGGGATTATCGTTAATCAATAACTAAACCTCTAAAAATGATAAGAATAATAAAACCATATTTAGAGAAATTCCAGGTAGCTGTTTGACACGATCATTTGATTACATTCCAATCACATTCGTCAAACAAATTCTAATAATTTAGAAAATAATAACTAGTCGGTCATATTCACTATTCAAGCAAACCATGTCACACAACCTGTGGAAATATGTGAAGCGTGTGGCCGATGTGCTTGAGCAAAAATCTAATCAAACTTCACACGATGTTTCGTAACACGAATTTCAGTCACACGGAAATCTTTCAACTGCTCGCTTTATCATCCAATCATCTAAACTGAATTGATTGTTATTATCAGCACTAAAAGATGTTTTTTTTTCTATTATCATTGTCAAAGATACCAAAACAAACAAGCGGAAACAAATATTCGTAATTGTTCCAAAATCATCTGAAAAAAATACGAAAATTATCTGAAGAAATAGAAGATTTCGTCTAAAGGAATAATGCATTTTTACACAAGATTGGCTGCAAAATTGAAGTCAATCAAAGCGAGAGGAAGAACCAAACCGATGATCTTTATTTCTTTATGGCCAGCACATTTGAAGATGCATAAATAGGTTCATGTATACTGGCGAAAATCTAAATGATGAGAAAACAAGTGGCCATTTTAGACGTCTAGTAGTTCTTTAGACGATTTCGTAAATTCTTTGGACAAATTCTCCAGACACTTTTTTTCACTTTTTCCTAATGAGCCATATGTAAAACAGAATTTGGCGATAATTATATTTCCATTCTTTGACCAAAAAAGATTAGAGAAACGACAGCTGATTTTTACCCAAAGAAAACACTTCATTTGAACTTTGGATTCATTTGGATTTAGAACACTGTTTGGGTCCATTTGTACGAAATCACTATGAGAGAATCATCAGTTTGTATTGATGATAAGAAGTCTCGAGGTCTCTGAAAGCAAACTTTGGAATCGATGATAGTATTTTCCTTAGCATTTGTAATCTTCTAAACCAAATCAAACGAGAAACAATTTGAATGCACTCAGTATGAATTCAGAATTTGTTTCGTTTGGTTGACACTGAAATATCTTAGTTCGTTCAAGTTGAGTTCAAATTAGCCGTGATTTTCATTTTCGAACAGTGTCTTGTTTTGAGTTTTGATTTTTGTCTAGCTCCAATAAGTAATCCAATCAAAATGAATACTCTTTTCGCGATCACATTGTTGGTTGTAGGTGTCGCTGGCACAGAAGCATGTAATTTAATATGTTCCAATATAATTTTTTTAATTTTCTCCTTTGATTTTTGTTTAAATTTTTGAATTTTGATACTCAATTTGAGACTTATATACGAATTTGATATGAGTAAAGACGTTATCAACGTTATTTCCTGAGTATTATCAGGAATCTGGTGAAATAACTCAGAAAAATGTTACTTTAATTTCAAACGATTGTCAATTCATTTATAGTTGATACAAGTGCAATGGATGTGCTAGTGAAAAATAGTGATGCACACATCAAAAATACGCAGTTACTTTTTGCAGCCGCTGAAAAAGGTAGGCACGGAGTCTTGAAGCACTGAGTCAATGATGGTGTTTTTGAAACGTGTAGTCCTCATTCAAATATATTTGAAAAATCATTTCAAAATGTTTTCTTGACCTTACTTACTCAGGGGCTCCGAGTGCTGTGAAAGCCCTAATTGAACAAGGCACTGATGTTAACGCTAAAAATAGTCTTGGAGGCACACCACTCCATATCGCTGTCCGACTTGGTGAGTTTGACTAAAACCTTGACTATAGTTTGACACATACTTGGGAACAATCGTTTTAACTCTGATTTACTTTCAATTCAGGTCACAAGGATGTTGTTAAAATGCTTATTGAACATCACGCTGAGGTTAATGCCAGGAACAACGAGGGATACACACCTCTTCATACAGCTGTGACGAATGGTAGTTGTCTCAAAGTCTTACTTTTAATCATAAACAATCTTCTTACTTTGATTCATTCACAATCCAGGTCGTGGTTATATCGCCAAAATGCTTCTTGAAAATGGAGCTAGAATTAATGCTGAGGACATCTATGGATTAACTCCCCTGGATCGGGGAATAATGTTTGGTAAACTCTGAAAAAATTCTGTTTGGATAACATGAAAACGCTTTGTGTGATTTTACAATGAGAATTTGCATTTCCGATTCATTTCAGGTGATGCAAATATTGTGAGAATTCTTATTGAACGAGGCGCATTGATCAATGTCAAAGACAAGAATGAATGGACACCGTTGCACCACGCAGTTGTTGGCGGTAAATCATTTTTTTTTTGACTTAATTTCTTGTCGAAACATTGTTTTTGATTTGAATCCACTCACATTGTGCATTTTATAATTTAGATTCGGTAGACATCGTCAGACTTCTGATGGAAGCGGGTGCTAATATTTATGCTAGAAACAATGGTGGACAAAAACCACGCGATATTTGCAGATCAAAAGGTAAAAACCGTGGATTTTTTTTCTCAAAATTGGTCGATTTTTCTGTGAAATTCTTCTCAAATGGTCCACTTTTGTCGTCAAACACAGAAATCAAACGAATGCTAGTACAGGCTGAAATAGAGATGTCAAATTTAATGGAAGTCGAAATGAGCCGGGCAAATGGACGAACTATACTAACCAAAGAAGTGTTTGTTTGAAAGCAATTTGATGACACAGCACCACTGCCGAAGCATTGAAATGAACTAAGCAAAGAGGTGCATTGCCATGCATTACATCATAAGAATACTACCTTTATTGTTTTTGAAAAATGTTGCTATTATTGTATGGCTGCAAAATAAAGCGATTCCAACATTTTTATTTCATAGTTTGATTCCATTATTTGCACATAACTCAAACGTTTTAGTTTTTAGATAGAAATGGAGAAAAGTTCGTCCTATATCCTTAACAATCTTTTCATCCTTCGTCGGACTTTCACCGTTTTCTCCACTTTTGATGGCTGGTCGTTAGACACGAAGCACTTTTTCCACATTTGACAACCGAATGATTGCAAAAAGCAAACAGAGACGGAGAAACGAACAAAAGAGTTTTTAAATGGTTCAAAATGTAATTGCCAATCTGATGTTGTCACTTTTTCAACCGGAGACAAAGATGAAGCACAAACCGAAAAACGCTTCAATCATTTGTTGACGCTCATTTATTTCGCTTTCAAATGATATCCCCATGTTTCATCCGATTTCTGATATTACACTCATTTATATTTGCTGTCAAGTAATTCTGTTGGGCTAAAAATAGCTCATTGCCATCGGTCTTGAACCTAACATTCATGACATGCAACCAGCAATACATTTATACGGCTTCTTGAGTGCGTAATTTCTAGTTCTAATGTTTATTTTTAACCTCTTGCTCGCGCAACACTTGCGGTGAAGAAATGAACGATGAATGCACCGAGCATTTATAACAGCTGGAATGAAATATTTCGTCGCTGTTAAATCGAAAATGATTTAAAATCGTGTTATGAAGAGCCGAAATCAGGGCTGAAAATGATTGAAATGTGAAAAATTACAATTGGAAAAAAAAATGCGAGGCAAGAAAATTGAAAATTGTGGGGAACAGACTGATTGAGGCGAAAAATCGATGTAAATTGAAGGTTTGCATAAGGAATTTACGCTATGCTTATGCTCTTCTTCTTGCTCATGTTCATCCTGCAATACGAATGCGTTTGTCAGCAATTAAACATTAGTTATTGCTACGCACAGCCAAAGGTTAATCATGCCGCAAGGCATTTTCTTTTCTCCGCCACCGACAATAAAATATGAGCGTGCGTTTATTTGCTCTCTGTACGCTGATACACTCTGTTGTTCTGTTTACTTTGTCGAATATTCTTCCCCATGATTGAGACAAGCGCTAATTACCGATGCGCCTCTGCTACCAGAAGCAATAAAATCATTTTCGTGACTCTTTTTTGATTGATTCAATTGAAATATCTTTGGTTGGTATTTCAAAAACACACAGCAATCATATCAATACGCTTCATAGTAGACTACGGTGAAGTCGCATTGTATCGAGACTCTCATGTGCGACAGTGAACGAAAGAGCTACAGCGTAGTGTTTGGGGAGCGAAAGACATGGCTTAAAGTGGAAAAACATTCATAACATTTTCGGCGTTTGTTATTCTTTTGTCAACAGTTAATTACGGTTATTTATTGTTTATTAAAATTGTGTCGCATCATTTTGGGTGTTCATCGTCGAAACGTGCATTTTCGCCTGGGAATTTCGGATTTATTTATTTTATTTTGAAAATTGTTATTTTACGTGAGTGCAAATTGCAAGAAAATTGAAATTAATCAACATCATTTCGTCGAGAGAAGCGACAAAAAATTAACATGCTTGTGAAATAAATGAAGTGGATCCTTGCAGGCAACGATGGCAACCGTGTGAATTTTCCGAAAATTTTCGGTGTGCGTGTTTTTCTCTTTTTCCGAAACAAATTTTCTCGGCTGCAATCAATCAGTAGCACTGTTTCCAGTTCAACACAACGCTAAATATTATTTCACGTCGTGAAACAATATTGAACCAACGAAATGATATGGATCGAAATACGATCGTTGAAGTCTTCAACTTGAAGATTGAGATTATTTTGTAGAAGATGAACTGCACTGTTTACGCATTTGCTAGCTACGCAACAAATATCTCTGTATCACTTGTTTACTTTGGCTCACGTCTATGGTTTTTCTTATGTGTGATGCGCTCCTGCAGCTTTATGATATGACAGCAAAAGAAAAACAAGTATAACTGAATGATACATAAATAATAATCATCATTTAAATGATTGCCTTCGTCTTTCGTTCACACTCGCTCTATCACTATTTTATTCTGTCTTGCTTACTCTTTCTCTTTCACTCTATATTTTCCTCTCGCCTATTCATTTACTCTATGTCTCTCTCTATCTCTCTCTCTCCATCTCCCTCTCTATCTCTATCTCTCTCTCTCTCTCTATCCCCATCTCGCTCTCTATCTCTGTCTCTCTCATTCTATCTATATATCTATACATCTTGCTCTATCAGTCTTACTCTAAGAGTCTCTTTCTCTATCTCTTACTTTCTATGCTCATCTCAATATTTCTCAACGTCTCTCTCGACAAAGCCGTACAAATGAATGCCTAATCATAATTTCCGTACATGTATAATTCCAGCAATATTCCCGTATTTAAGTCGAGTAATTCAATGTTCAGTGCATTGAAACTAAATCAGAAGAAAAAAAAATACTGTCTTTCGAGTGTAATTTTTCTAACGAATGAATAATTCCGATTTTTTCTATTTAACCAAAGATGTGCACTTTAAGTTTTGGCTCGGTGTGATTGAAATGAGTCATTATCATTGGATTTATCTGGCATTTGGAATTTTTCATTCAATTTTGTGTGTGTACGATGTACGTTTTCCCTTTTTTTCTCCATTACAAATTATCCACTGCATTAAATAATTACCGAAATGAATTGGATGTCACGCACAGCAGCCAGAAATACGTGCTCTTGTCTCTGGTATTCCACTAAAATTGTAGTATCTCTTGCCCAACTGCAATCACGTAAAACGATTTTCTCTCGTCCGATGCAACCGTTTTCGAATGCACTCCTTCGTTCTTATTCAAATTAATATAAATTGAATAACGGATTAAAATGAGAAAGAATAAAAAAGAAGAGTATGTGCATTTCTTCGTCTCAATTTAATTGTTATCATCATTACGCGTTTGTCTGTTGATAAAAATGCTTTCAGATTAACGTATTTTTTTTTATCAAGTTTTGTTTCAACTCGACTTTCTACTCAAATTAATAATGATTAAAGCCAAAAATATACAAGGAAGACAAGAGCAGCAAAAGAAAGACAAGAGAAATACTTGAAGGCAGACGAAAAGAAGAGAGAAAAAAAAGACCCTGAAACCAAATGACTTTCCACATAAAGTGGTTCTTCGGTAGCGCACATCAACATCTTAAATTACGGACTTGTGACGCTAGTCAGTCGAAAATGAATCATTCGTTGGTATGCCGGTTGCCGGTGGTTGACACGAGCAAATCAACTTAAAAGCATAAAATCACACTTAAACATTGATACACACACCGGTGGCCGTGTGCACATTTTATCGCCGCGGCATATAAACTAATCTTAATGTTTATTGTGGCCACAATTTGAAACATTTTGTCGATTTCTGGTTTTGTTTTATGTTGTGGATGAACAAGCATCGGTTCTGTTCGTTTCTGGTTTTCTTGTCGACTTTTGTGCCTGATGTCTAGACTCGGTGGATATTCGATTACGCATTGGATTCGATATGAAACCTAAACCTATAACAAAGATAACATAAAATGATAGATTCAATTACGGTTGTGTTGCGAGCGATGGGTTCAAAGACAATATTGCACTTGGTGCAGCAGTGGCAGTAGCTCTCGAACCAGTGCATTCCCAAACTCATTTGCTACGAGCAATACTTTTCTGGTGAGAGAGAGAGAGAAAGATACGATGAGAGTTTAAAACCGAGCACACGTGATACAACCTCTAGCTTCGTGACTTATGGGGCACTTTGTGAATCGAACACGTAACCCATTCGAACTGGTAATGATCCCGAAAAAGCGAAATTCTTCCACATTCATTTGTAGCTTTGTCAAGAGTCGTTACAAACGAGTTTTATACCCCGTGTCTCGGATGACAGTTTTGTAATTCATTTCAAAGAGCCATGAAGTGGCAGTCTCAGTTTTCAAACGCAATGGAATACATTGTTGCCAGGCCGTGCGCTATCGCAAACAATGGCAAATGATTTAATTTGCTCTCTTCATTCCGTGAAATGCTATCGAGTTTCGAGCATTCTTATTATTATTTTGAAAAAGAGAGAGAGAAAAAACCAGATGCATTTTGTTGAAAACGGTAAATCCGATTTGAAATTTTAGCCCTGCGGCCACAACAAACAACACTGTTGTTAATTCGGATGTATTGTCATTCTTGACTCTCTTCACCTTTACATTGTTGCAATTTAACCCGTTTGTAATGCAATGTGCTTAGGCTTTTCAGCAACTTTGCTTTGATTTCAATGTAATGCGGATATGCTGTGGCCAGAAAGACAATGGCTTCTGATTGAATTAATGCAAATAAACGCCAGTGGTCACTATTCATATGGGCACACACACAAGACACAATTTATAAAGAACTTTAGATTATAAGCTAATATATATTGGCTAATGAATTTGGATTCGATTGCTTTCTCTCTAACTCTTGGGTGTTTTGGCCTTTCGTTTTCGGTCTCTTTCTCATTCTTGCTTGCTCCTTTCCAATCTTTCTCCCTCTCGTTCGCTCTCGTTCGCTCTCATTCACTCTTACTCGCTCTCACTCGTTCTTGCCCTCATTCTTTCTCTCGACTCTCTTATTCTCTCGTTTTCGCTCTCTTCACTCACTTGTTCTTGCGTTTGATCCCTTCTTGCATGCTCTCGCACTGGATTTATTCGCTCTTTCGCTCTGTCTCTCATCCCAAGTTGACTCTATTTCCCCGCAATCAACTCGTTCGAACAGCATTCGGCACAAGCAAATCACACAAATCCCGAGAAAATTGTGCGTTGATCGAACAAGAAATGATTGTTAAATGCACGTGCTCTGCTAAAATTGGATCTATTAAACCTAGCTACGCTTTCGAATTAATTGTCACAAGAGGCCTGAAGGCTATTGGGTTTCGATATTCAATCGAAACGCAATCTCATCCTCAGCAGCCGTATTGCATTTTGTTGGAAATCTGTACTGAACTGCCGATTGAAGCAAAGTGGACGAAAACCGCAAAATCATAAAGCGTTTTACATCGTATAGCAACAGAAAACCGCATTCATTATAAA